AAAAAAAAAAAAAAAAGGCTTAAATGATAAAATTAATAAATCTGCCAATTTTGAGGCAAGCAAAAATGCTCTTGGATGCCCTGCCCTCCTGGTGGAACCTTCCTGCATGGAGGTCCGGATCCTCAGACTGACCCTTTAAATTATTCATCCCCTGTAACTGTACCTGCACTTCTCACTACATTTATATAGCCGGGCTGCTCTATTATTAATGCTGTGGCGGGACACAGTGAAAAGCAACAAAAGCTATTGGAAACTTCTGGAAAATGGGAAATTGTGACTGAACAAAGCACATGCACAGGGAGCGATTAGACACTCCTCAGCAAACCTGGGGCATTATTAGACTGTACTGCCGTGTCAGCTCACTTCGGACACTTTATGTTCTGTTACATTTTACTCATAAAACATGATTTATTCTCATATTCTGAATTTGGCCATTTCCATAAACCGAGCTTTTGTCTGCGAATCTTCTGTTTGCCAAATCCCCAGAACAGAAAATGGATGCTTAAAAAAAAAACAAAAAAACAACAGATTTACCAGACCCTCTCTCTTTTCTTTTTCGGGAGAGTAAGAAACTAGACCTTTTTACACAGCATGTGCGTTGATGTGTGTGATTTCCTGCAGGATCGTCTTCCCTTGTAAGAGCTACTACTGTCACGCAAGCTGCTATCCTTTGGAAATCAGGTCGAAGTCCGCCTTGCCCAGACGGAATTTAAATATCGTTACATATTCAACACACTGAAATCCTTGGCGCTCCCTTGATGGCTGGATATTTCTAAGGGTACAGATTGAAAGCATAGAAGCGACTGTCATTTTCCCATTACGCCTTACAGCGCTCCGGCCGGGAGGAAACCCGGATTTCAAGGCTTGAAAATGCTGGGGGGGGGGTAAAAAAGGAGATTTTCAGGGGAAAATGAGATTTTACCCAGAAGGTGAGGTGACACAGAAAAGGAAGAAATTGCATTTTCCAAGCCTAATTTCAACAGTGCTACTGGTTTCCAGTGGGACATGAGGGCATATGGATGTAAATTATGGGGGAGATAATCAAAACCAGCTAATACAACCCCCTGCCCCCCCCTTAAATGGGTGGAGACCTTAACCCCCCAGTGCTTAACCCAAAGTTATGCCCTTGTGTTAGTATGTAACAGAACAGGAAGTAATGATAGAAGTCGGCCTGACCATGAAATGAAAGCCAATCAAATCAGAAGCTCCGCCCACCGCCAACACTCCCCTCCTCATATGGTTGCACTGTCCTCATGTTTTGCGGAAATGCCAGATTGGTTCCCTGGGGCTTCTTTAGGGATTTTAATCCCTTTGGTTCATGTTTCCACCACCTCATCCCTCACAACACCTTCCTCTGGGTCTAGTAGGCAAGCTAATTATAGACCAAAACGACCTTCAGCAGAGCCAGGCAATCGATTCATTCCACAAGCCGCTGCTAGTCCAATAATTACAGTGTTAAGATCTCCTCTACATATCCAAGTCATCCAGTCAGCACTTCTCACTTGCCAACCCTGTGCTACATACAACAGGGATATCGGTAGGTTATGTTACAGCCATGTAAAATCAAAATTAATTTTCCTTAATTCTTCCCCTTCCTCTATCCCCTAAAACCTTCTTGAGAAACTCTCCAAAAACGCCAAGATCACACTAAAGCAATCCTTAACAGCCAAATGCTCCATTTCCATGACGATGATGCTTCCCCACTGTTGTCATGGTAACATGACCAGTAAGGCATTTTGCTAGATTGCATGTTTACACGCTCATTTTCCCTCTTCTGGGTTTGCGCCTGTTTTTTTAACACAGGTCAATGGTTTTCCATTCAATTCAATACAATGAATGTGAACAGTTTGGCTGTTACATAATGAAGCTACTGCTTAATGACTGAGCGAAACACATGTATCATCAAAACCCAGAAGTCGTAAAAATCCCTAATGGCTCGTAAGTGTGTGTGTGTGAGAACATCGAGGTCATGCGGAATTGTCTGTACAAATCACATACGAACGCAGTATTCAAATGCGGGGCAAGTCAACAGGAGACAACGTGCTCAGAGGTCTGATTACACCAGGTCAAAAATTAGAAAGCATGAACTTGCCAGGGTACAAGCTGGACCACGGGGCTAACGTGACACGTCTGTCAAACGCAACCTTCAAATCAACCTCCACGTGGTTCAAAAAGTTACTGTGAGGTAAAGGTTCTTCGTTCTCTTTGACAGCCAGATATTAAACGGTGAATGAGAAGTCAGTGCGCGGTTTAGAGTCACAGAGAGCTTGGCATTGGTGTGCCGTACGGTGCTCGCGCTTCTGTCCTTGTGCTGCTCGACAGGTAGCCCAGCACACGCCCCCCTGGGGGGAGATGGAGAAAGATAACCAACTGCTTTTAATTCATTTAATTAACTCAGGTCTAATTTTACCGCAATGTTATGCTGAGCTGTTTTATTTTCAGCATAAAGCACATTTATTTTTCAAAATGATTATGAATGACTCAGAGAATTCTATTATTCTATTATACAATGAAGTATAATATATGTTTGATGCTGAAACCACAATACATCTGATAAAGTAACAAAAGCCTAAGTCATACTGTACATTAAAGACTAGTTGCTTACGTTTCTCAACACATTCAGACTTAATTTCATCTAATTTCTTCAGCTGTTGTGAAGCCGTCATCTCACCATTTTCTGTAAATGCTTATCTTATTCAAGGTTATGGAGGAGGTTCACAGTCCAAACTCCAATTAACCTCAGCATGTTTGTTGGACTGTGGGCGGAAACCGGAGTAGCAAGAGGAAAGCCCACGACGACACGGAGAGAACATGCAAACTCCACATACATGGTGCAGTGCTAACCACTGCCCCTGTCACAAAGCCTTAAAATTAATATACACACATAAATATTACAATGCAGGACAGCTCAGTGTTAGCCTAGCTTCTCTGTGATCAACACGCACCTGCATCCTCATTTCTTCATCCGGCGCTTGCGGTCGGCCTTCTTCTCCTCCTGGAGGACGTGTCCGCACGGCTCGACGCGGTGAATGCCGGACTTCTTGTGCCGCCGCAGCCTCTCACGCGGTTGCCCCTTGGCCCCGCCTCGCTTGACCAGGTGACCCTGGCTGCTGGTGAACTCGGAGTAGGCTGCGTTGGAGAGGGGGAGGGACGTGGGCCTTGGTGCCTGTGTGGGGCTGGCGCTGAAGAGAGCCCCTTGCACGTCTGGGCACGAACTGCGGCATTTCTGGAGAACAAGCTCATCTGAGCTGTTGGTTGTGACTAGACCCAAGTTACCGGTCTCTAGGAGAGACGGAGCGTCCTGGCGGTCAGCTCCACGTGGAGGCAAGGAAGCCAGTCCTCTGTTTTCACGGTTGGAACCATGTTTTCTTGGATTTTGTTTGGATTTGAGATACTTTTGACTCTGTTCTTTGCTCTTCTCCACTCTGACATCATTCTCTTCTGCGTCCTGCTTGCCTTCCCCCAGCTTGCCTAGTGGGGGCACCATTTCTGGCCCCCCGTCGATCCTCAGGGTGGACACCTGGGTCATGCACTGCTCCAGCAGGCGCATAAGACTGACATCACTCTCTGTCCTGCAGGGGCTGATGGGAGATTCTAAGAAGCCTGGCGGCAGTGAGCAAGGGCTTCGTGCAGATCCCGTCCTCTGGAAACTGCTGGGGCTTAAGAGGTCTGAAGTCTTGATGTGTTCGATGAAAGACACACAGGAATCACACAGGAACAGCTCCTTGGAGCCCTTTTTCAACAACCTCTTGCAAGACTCGCACAGCGATTCCCTGTTAATTGCGAGCAGAAACACAGTGCTTGCCACTGAACCTGGAGACCTGAGTATGGGAGACTTCAGGTCCCAGTTAGGCGTTAAGGGAGACTCCTTGTTGAAGATTCGGAAGGAAAACCCGTTTGCTGGTGTTCTGATATCGCCCTCTGGAGACGCTATATTGGGTTCATCTTTTCTGAGATTTGGTAGGAATACTAAGCTTCCGTTGACAGCTGGGGATTCCGGCGCTGGATCCTTAACAGCTAGCTGATTCTTCGGCATATCCTGACCCTCACGGTGGAGTTTATTGCAATTCGGAGGGAAAGTACTTGCCTCAACATCTACCCCGCCACACACAGACGGACTCGTCTGATTGGCCTTCTGCTTCAGCCAGTTCATGATTCCCATGGCCAGGGAGATCTCGGTGTCACACAGCTTCAACAGGCACTCCTTCCCCTTCCAGCTGCTCTGCAGGAGCTCCTGACCGACAAGATCCAAAGCCAAAGGCGGGGCCAGATTCTCCTCTGCTCCAACGTGGAAACTGTACATGGACTGTGGATGGTCACCGGCTTGACAAAGAATGCTTTCTGATAGGCTCACTTCCTCATCAATGATGGGGCTCATCCTGGACTCACAAGGGTCATAGAAGAGCTCATAAAGAGCATCGCCGCTATAACTGTCCCTGGGGAACCGGTTGGAAAGGTGAGGTGTGACAGACCCCCTACTGTTGTCCTCCAGTCCAGGTGAGATATAGTCATAATAGCCTTCGTCACTTGTGGACACTATTTCCTGCTTGTCACTTTTTGGTGTCCCCTTGTCATGTAAAAGTTCTACAGTCTTTTGTTCTGTCAGAAGAAGAGTTCTGTCAGGAGTTGATTGCTGGCTAATGGGTTGGGCCAGGGTGAAGGTGTTCAGATCTGGGCTGCCTACCGCCTTGGCTTCTTTACTCTTCAAACTGTCCCACAATCCAAACAAGTCGAGGATCTCTGCATGGGCTGGGGATGCCATCTGCTCCACCCCGCCCTGGTAGGACCCCACAACAGGGCTGCCCTTCTTGGACTCGCAGACATCCTTGTCGGGGTCTTGCTTCTGGCCGCCCTCAGCTGGATGAGGAATGGGGAGGTGATGCTCCTCATCTGCAAATATCTCCCCACAGCCAGTATGGGATCCAAAGCTCTGGAGGGAGGCCACGTCCTCGCAGATGCTACTGCAGAGCTCAATGGAGGAGTCAGACAGATCATCATTGTGGTCGGGGACACCGGAGCAGCCGCTGGTGGTCCCTTCCTGGGTCGGCTTGCCCATGTTGACTGATACTGCTGCTTTGTCTCCTCTTCCTGGAGTGAGGAAACCAGGAGAGACTACCTTCTCCCGCTTGTGACGCCTGATTCCAAGCAGGTCTTTGATAGCCTTTCTCGACTTCCGCAGAGATATCCGCTTCTTTGGGATAGACTTAGCGATGGAGGGCACGAAGGGCACTTGGGGCGTGAGATTACGGTAATCTATGATGTCCCTGCTGCTGGAGGCACTCCGGTTCTCGTGCAACAGCCCGCCTTTGCCACTCGGGGAAACGGCCAATCCGGAGAAGCTGACGCTGCTGACCAACTGCCTCCCGCTGTCCCCGGTGGGTGTCGCACTCCCGAATCTGCGCGGTCGGCCACTTCCTGCCTGCAGCACCATGCCTGCCACGCAGTCGTGGGTCCTGCTTCTCCGAACCACCCTGCGTCGCGCCCAACCGGGAGATTGAGTGTTGGTGGGAGAAGGGGACAGGTCCGTCCCCTGGCTGCTGGGGGAAGAAGGGCATGCTGGGGTGGTGGCACGCGATCGGCCCTTGTGTCTGCAGCCATCACTAACAGGTGTGGGACTCGGTCGCTTCTCGCAGTCCCCTGCGCCGCCCGTTGGCAGTGCCACACCACTTTTCATTGGACTGTTTGATAGCGCCATTTGAATATTTTAAGAGCATCTCTGAAGAGAAACAGAGGACAGAAAAAAACACAGAGCTTTCTTAATGTAAAAAAATCCATTATCATATACATAAAAAAACCTCCATTATCATATATTTCAAATGTCTTGAAGAAGTATTGCGTATACTTTATCCCTGACAGAGCTGCTGTAAGCAATCCCAGGCAGCGGTAGCCTACATCCCAGTGGGGATGCCAATTTAATCAATGCACATATACTATAAGTTACAATCACACATTAATCTCTCACAACGTTTGTAAACATATTGCCCCATGAAAGGATTCTTTCACAGTGTACTACTTCGATATAGTACAAGTTACTATATTCCCATAAAAACTAGCAGAGAATGTGTTATGTTCAATATTAAAAATATATTAAAAAATATTCCTTTAAGCAACGATAATTCCCCTTCATTAAAATGACCATGTGTTGTTTTCTTTGCCCGATTCTTCAAATTCTCTTCCTGACGCAGTAAAGCTATGCCTTTCTGTAAATGCAACATAAATACTTTCATGTTTTGTGCCATTAATAACTATCACGGTGGATCCGCGCCTTTCCATAAATCCATCGATCCGTCTTATAAACGCTTATCTTAGTCAGGGTAAAGGGGACTTTCTATAAATATAATAAATACACGAAAAGCATATATATATGAGAAACCATGCATACCAATAAGATAATCTTAATGTAAATAAATATTATACACCTATACGTAACCAATATTGTTTCGAGCAGTTTTCACCATGCACTGCTTTAATAGTACCTAATGATTGACTCGTTTCTGTTATGTTCATCTACGATCTATTTAACCAAGTAACGACGACTATTCATATTTTTCATTATGTGAATGTAGTCAAATGGAAGGCAAAATGTGCACGCCAGGATGGCTATTCTACTGTGTATCTTCCGTTTACATTTTTCTTTAACCGATATCCTGCTGTTCAATAAATTGTATATGACATCTGCATCTTTTTCTGGAAAGCAGTACTTTCTATCAACCTCGTCAATATACGCATGCTTATTCAAACATATTTAATTAGCATCTTTAGTTCTTCATTTTGACCAAATCCGCAGCAGCATGACACGGGTTCTTGGTTGCAAATATCGTACGACAGGGAAGGCGACCGCCTTCGCTATCCCCAGTTTACATGCATTTCGATGCACGCAGAACAAAAAAAATGCAATGCACGATGACCAGTAGCATATGCATATTTGTAAATAACCACCTGACACCTAAAGGGACATTTAAGCGTTGCCTCCAGCGAAAACATACGTTCGATCAAACGTTTAGATTCCACATCGCTAATTATTTTAACATGCATTCGTGATTTTCCTAAGCAGACCGCATGCCAGGCAATCTGTGCCCGCTTTCAGGTGGCAGACCTCCATTTAACGACGTGACATCGGCGTACCTGTTTCAGCGCTGACGGATGAATCGTGAATCCCATGCGGAGCTCGGCAGGGACGCGCAGTGAGCTTACATGGCGTAGCACGGGGGATAGACACAGCCCTCCAACCTGTTCAATAACTGGGAATCGATGCGGGGTACTGAATCGGATCAGAAACGCATGGTGGTTACTGGCCTGTGATACGAACCGAACTATCGGCGGTGCTACAAGGCAGACCAGAACAAAAGCGTGGCGTGCTGTAATGATGCAATCCTACTACGATGAAAACGAAGACGGCTGATGCACGCCAGTGATAGTGTGCAAGTCAAAAGAATTGTTCCAGATTGACATGTAACGCTGCTGCTTCATAATTATTATCATTCATTCGATAAGCATTTTGCCTACAAATACAAATAGCATAAACAAGCTGTAAGGAACGGACACTTAAGGTTACAAGACAGCGGTAAGTGCTCTTTCCCCTTGTGTAGCAGGATCGTCTCAGAGGGTTTGCAGCCTAATGTGCACGTGGCGGCACGATTACGCTCCATGAGCTAATCAATGGGTCGTGGCCAGTTTGCCGTCTCCAGGCTCTCAATCTGCCCACCAACACAGTTGAGGGATTAATGGCGTGTAATTTACACACAAAGACACACACAGAATACCACGAACATCCCAGCCACTTGTCAAATGAGCACATTTTATTGAAGAGCAAGAAGGTACTGATACAGTTTTTAATTTTATTTTTTTAACCAAAAAAATGGAAAACAAAAGTGCAACAAGTGAGAGAAACATCAATAGTGCAGCGAAGGATGTGACTGAGGGGTCCGCGGGGCCCAGCAGTCACAGATAGGACCCCCAGCCCAGGTACATCTGACACAGGAGGTTGTCATCAGTGGCCTCGTGGATGAGGTAGTGAACGTGGCCTTCGATGGACAGGGGCAAACCCATCACCTTGTTTCTGTTTTTGATTGCTCCCTGTAGGCGTTGCTCGATGTCCAGGACGTGAGTTTTTGCCTGGGGAGGGACATCACAAACCTGAGCACTGCTTGGTCATCGTCGCTTAACATTTATACTACTTGTGAAAACAGCTTTAATAAAAACAAAATGAATTTGGTTACAATGGAGAATTTCTCTGATCCATAGCTAGGGAACGCCTCAATTACTGACCATTTATAGTAATAAAAACAAATAAATTTTCAAAACAATGCTTGCCCTTATGACCAAATCCGGTATGCCTGACAGCACGGCATGCGGGCGTGAGAGAGATCTTTGAGGCAGAAGGCAAAACATGCTGTTAAAAATGTCCACTCCATGAAGGATAAAAGAAATGGAATATGCAAGGCTGGAAAAGTCGTAAGCACATCGCGGTCATGTCTAGACCTCCATGATTTTCACTTAGTGACCATTTCACTTAACGACGTGGTCAGCGAAGCAGAACTCCGTCGCTCAAAGAGCAGTGGTCATAACCTCAAATAACTAATTTCTAAATATGCTGTGCAACTTCACCCAAAGAACCACAACACAGTTTTAGTCAGAGGTACACTACCGGAGGTAGAAATGCAAACTAACATTAAAAGCCATTTTCCAATTGCAATTCATAAGATAAGGCAATTCCTTCTTACGTTAAGCAAGCATTTTGGTGCTTATTTACAATTAGCAACTATTCAAGTAGGATGTCAAATTTAAATGAAATGATGGCTTTGGCAATCAAATTGTACTGGGCTAAACATTTCTGACAATAAAAATGGTAGGAGTTAAACAGCCTTCGGCAAAATGCTATGATCTGTTAGAACATCCGTGAGCGCATCTGTTAGCAGGGTGGAAGCCAGCCGCTGTCTGGTGTGGAAGAACGCGCCTGGGTCAGTGAGCACACTACCTTCTCGTTGAGGATCTCTCCAGATTCGTTGGCCTGTATCTTAGAGGACTCTTTGGCTGGCTTACTCCACTCCACCAAGGGGTCATGAAGGAACGTCTTCAAGACGCTGAAACGGAGGGATTGGGGATACATTTGCCATCATGATGCTAATCCTGAGAGTGAACCGATAATCCCAGTGGGACCTGCTATACTCTGTCAGTAAAACTATGACTCGATTTCTATTAATTATTCATGCAGGCCATTATCTTGGTGGATTCTTCATTGTGGTTTATATACTGTATGAGGACAGTAGGTGGCCTGATGGTTAAAGATCAGCACCGAAGAAACTGTTGCAATATATGACAGATATTAACACTCCTGAAGAGTAAAAGCTTAAACTGTAAGCTTCGGCGAAATGTCCAGCTACAAAAAATACGGATTGCGTTTCAATTTAAAATAAAAATGGGAAATGAACGGCTAAAGTCTCGCTTGTTTGGAAGCTGAGTTGGCTTCGGCTGGTACCTCATGAGGGGCTCTCTCTGGTCCCTCATCAGCCGCAGTGTGACCTCGCAGGCCTGCCTGAAGAGCCCCTCGGTGCCCATGGGGCCCATGGCGTGCACCATGTTCTGTGTGAGCCGGAATGGCACCACCTCCGGCACGTCAAAGGTCTCACCCTGCAGGGGAAAACATAGAGGTGAGTCATGCCCCTGTCCGGCAAACCTCGTGCTCTCTCTCCCCTGTTTTGCTCCTGTTTGGTTTATTGTATGTAGCACACGGACAGACACGCTCCTGTTTAGCTCGGCGTATGTAGCACACGGACAGACACGCTCCTGGTTGGCTTGGCGTATGTAGCACACGGATAGACACGCTCCCGGTTGGCTTGGCGTATGTGGCACACGGACAGACACGCTCCCGGTTGGCTTGGCGTATGTGGCACACGGACAGACACGCTCCCAGTTGGCTTGGCGTATGTGGCACATGGGCAAAAATGCCCCTCTAATTCCACAAGAAAGCAGCTGCTACGTCTGTCTCTGTTATATGGGTCGCGTCTAAGTCCAAGTCACTGAAATGTGGCACATGGACTCGACTCTATAACCCAACTCAAAAGCCGATCCAAAGGTATAAGTAAAATCTGATTAAGCTAGTTGTCATTTGTCATCTTCCTTCCCATTCTGACAGGCTGAGCAGATGGGTGGAGCCCCCTGGTGGCCACTGGGCCCTAAGCAGCCATTTATACCTTGTTTCCACCAGCACAGGGCTGGTGCTGGTGCTGGTACTAGGCTGCTTCTCGCTTGGTGCCTTTTGAGAGCCTGCCTACGTTACCACTGGTTTCAAAAAGAACAGAATGGAAATGTTACATAGGCAGACGTGAGAGCAAAGTAAAGTTTAATATGAGTTCCATTTTGTTTTTGGAATTATTTTGATCTGATTTGCATTTTAAGGTTTTATAAGCCACCAAACTGAAAAAATAAGCCTTTAAGTCTCATAGTTTTCAGAGTCTGCACTCTGTCTATATTGCCTGCATCCACTTTTGTCTCCTTAAAACCTGTATTTCTGTGTGTAAGTGACTTTATTATCACTCACCGTTGTCCTTTTATAGAGCAATAAAGGCAATAAAAGAGTTTGCTAGAACTTTCCTGTCCGCCTCATGATCTCTTTTCTACTTGAGTACCACAATATAATATTTATTCACCCTGCGACATGAGTATAATTCATTATTTAATCTGGACAGATCGATCTTTCATATTCTTCTAACAAGCTGGCAAGTTGTTTCATTGCTGGTACTGGGGATATCAGACACAACTATATCGGTTATGTATTGAATTTTCCGGGTATCTGGAAGATTTGTATGCTTTAGCCTGTCCCACTTTCGCTGCCGTTATGGTTCCAAATTTTGCAACCAGCTTTACTGGAGTGCCATGCTGGAGCCGTTTCTTCTGGCCTAGGGTCAGTTTTGTTTTGCGGTGGAAATGCACAGAACCAGTTCCGGTTTGGAAAAAGGCCGGCACCGTGTTGATGGAAATGAGGCATTAGTTTGCTTATGCCTTGGGCTCGCTCAACAAGGATGCACAAATGAACACATGATCGAGACGGGTGGCTAACTACCTACGGGAGTGCTGGGGTCTGTAAGGGACACGTGAAAATCCCAACAGAGTGAAGATGTGAAGATGGGTGACACTGTAGCCAATCAGCGAGTGCTCACTGCATTCAGATAATTCATTCCAGCCACACAAATACGGATATTTAAAACTAAATGAAGCCACAAACGTGCTTAAAGAAACCCAGAACATAAGTGGAACTGGTCCAGTAATGAAAAATAATTCAAACTTCCCATCATTTAACAAAAGGTATTCAGAGATCACGTAACTACCTCCTAGACTTTGCTGTATAATATACTGTCGCACTAGCATACTATATACTGCTGGACACATTATATAACGGTGTACCATGTCACCCCCATCTTTATTATACACCACGGGCTACCCTGTCTTGTACAGTAAATGTTATTCTCAGTTATGGGCAGGATCATGACCCCCTATAAAAGCCTCTAATGTAACATCAAATGACAATAAAACCAGAATGAAACTGAGCGCTTGCCAACTGGCAGCACTACCGGCCGACGGAGCCCACCTTGTTAAACAGGCAGTTGAAGTCCACGTGGACGCACTCCCCCGTCAGGGAGTCGAAGAGGATGTTCTCGCCATGCCGGTCGCCCAAGCCCAGGATATAGCCCACCATGGACATCACGGCCGTGGAGCGGCAGTAGGCGGAGCGGCTGCTGTACCTGGGCGAAACATTTCCGTGATGCGTGCTCTGAGCCAAAGACTTACAACACCAGCATGGTAATAATGACGTCCTCATCGGGACTTTTGCAATTAGAGCCTCCATTTTTGGATTCATTAGCAGATCAACTCTGCGGTGAATCGATCTGATGGCCTTAGGCTGAGCAGGGAGTGAATACCATGAGGTGGGATCGGGGAACGTGCGGAGGAACCACTCGTGGAAGATGGGTGGGTGCCGGGCGCAGAGCACCTCCTTGTAGAGGGTCAGCTTGTCCTGGACGGAGGTCGACTTGGGCAGCATGCACTTACGGAGCTCTTTGCCAGTCATGTGTATTCCTGGAAGGAGGTGGGATCAGATCGAGAGGAGGACAGGGTCTATGGAAGCACATTGGCTTGATGTAGAGTGCTGTTATCTCATGCGTCTGTATATCTCCACAGTATATCCCAGTTTTCTTTCATAGTTTAAAGATTTAAGGTTTAAGTTTAAGTACGCTGATGTCTGTAAATCATCCCCGGTGTGTGATTGTGTGTGTGTGTGAACTGGCATCCTGTCCACAATATCCCCTGATTTATGTCATGTGCATCCTGGGATAAACTCTAAGCTCAGTGAAACCCTGCACTGCAACATCAACCTCAAATCTGTGCACTAGTGGTGTTCTAGTAGTGAAGGTTACATCAAATCAGATGTAGTAAAACTAATGAAAGAATGAAATAATTAATAGAAATAAATATGCAATGCTATTACAGGGGCTGACAGCAGGGGGCATACCCTTCTCCTTGTAGAGCTTGGTGAGGATGTGGCGCAGGCCAGCCGTGTTGTCCACCCACTCGACGATGCCACACTCCTCGTTGAGCGGAATAACAGCGTACGTCCGGATGTGCAG